ATGCAGGACTGCAGCCTTTTATTCATGACCCACTTCACTTTTCACTTCTCCTCAAAAATCAAACATCACTGTCAAAGTTAACATTCATGACTTTACAGATGTTTTACTGAAATATGCTAACAAGCGATTCCTGCAGACAGGACACTCAAAAGGAATTCTCATGCAAGGTTTCCTTCTGATTTATTCAGCAGACCCTATGAGCTCATCAGAAAAAAAGGCCAAGGGACCTCCAACGATCTTCTCAATAATAACTCAGAGCTTTTGTTTCTGAAACTGTAAAAAAACAATAAAAACACTGAAATGTTTGAGCAATAATAACATAAACTCACACATTTGGATGTTTTGAAGGGATTTATTCAGACCAGTGGAGCCTGTGTTCAGCAGTGTTCCCCAGGCCAGCTGTGGCTACTATTTAGCTCATCACCACCACGGTGTGAATGGGTGAATGGCTGATTATGTTGTAAAGCACCCTGGAGGGAGGGTCCTTTATTTTCTACTAGTTCAGTCAAATTATAAAACAGTAAAAACTCTGATTCCAGTATTCGACATTTATGTAATTTCATTTGTTAAAGTGAACAAAACATTTTGTTTTGAAGCAGCGTGATTGTGAGAAATATTTCGAACTGGAACTCTGTAGGATCTCCATCTAGTGTAAAACTACATCTGATTCATGGTGTTCTCTGTCCGTTTGGTTAGAAGATGTTTAAACGTCTACTAGAATGTCCTCAAAGGCATCCTTTTACAATAACATAGTTATTATATTTAATAAACACAAGTCCAACATATTGTATCACGTTTTGGGATATTTACAATAAAACTGGTCATTAGAAATCCACTTATTCTTACAGCCCAAACAGTCCTGTTAGATGAAAAGTGATCGGCCAGGGGCACATTTCCTTTGAAGGGTGTGTGTAAACCAGAAATAAAACCTCAGCTGTGAAAGGTTTTTGGATTTTCATGGCTGGATTTTTGCGAAAATCTTATGTTTATAAATGGTTTGGCAAAAACGGAAAATATTTCCCAGTCTACGCCCTGAGCAGCTGATGACCTTTTACCAGTAACTCCCCTCAAACAGCTAGCGTAAACAACTCTGGTTTATCTGCAGCAGCAGAGGACCGTGTTTCATCAGTCTGATGTAGCTAGCTCTGCTAGTCGGCCAGATTTTTTTTCTCTGGATTACTACGAGGAGAACGGATATCAGAGAGCTGGGGGAATTCAGCTGAGTCACTCAGCCTTTCTGACTCAGTTGAGCCGCATGTAGGGGTAATCTGGCCTATCTGGCATTCTGGCACTGTCCCGGTGGGTCGCTTAAATAGGTGTTGTGTTCTGTAACCACTAGGGGCAGTATAATATCTGATGAGAGAGACCAAGAAGAAGAGATGTACGGCTGCCTCCATGTTACTTGAGCTCTTCTGACGTGCTGACATTAAAGTGAGATGAAAAGTAACTACTGCCTGCTTTATTACAACTACAAAACATAACAAGCGGCGACGAGGATCTGCATGAGGACGACATGGCTCTTGCTGCTACGCCTTCTCCCCCTCCTTTTCTTCCGTGTCCGGGTGAGCCTAGCATACCGCTCGACCAGTGTTGGGCAAGTTACTTCAAAACTGTAATATGGTAATTATTACTCTTTACTGCCTGTTTAAAGTAATATGGTACATTCCAATATTGCTGTTTTTAAAATGTAAGGCATTACACTACTATAGCATTACTTGACGTTATCCTCATTAAAAAAACAATATTAGTTTAAGTGACGCTCACTTAGCTCATAACTTCCAGTGAAAGGCAGTGTGGTATCCGAGCTAGAATAAAGATAAAAAAGAAAGTAAGATAAAACAGCCACAATGATGACAGAATACAAAATTAACCTTTATATGCATTTATTACTAAGTTTACAGTATTATGCACAGTTTGTTTTATAAAGAACTGATTAGCTCAAAGGAATATGACTCACTTTGAGAAGATTATGAACATAACATATTAATGCAAATTGTGGCCTTCAATAAAAATGGCCTGTGAACAAAGAAATAAAATGCAAGCCTTTTAAAACACAATGACAATTAGCCACACAAGGCTATCCAGTCATATTTTGAAACTTAATTAGAAATAACAAAATTAAAGTGTTTGCAATTATTTTAAAGTGCTTAGGCCTATTGGCCTTGAAAGAAACAACTTTAGCCTGAACTGTGACCAGAAAAAAAACTCTGTTATACAGGACAAACATAAATTAACTGTTACTACCAAATCGACAAACTGAGGCAGCAAATGTTCAAACAAGGCCTGGAAACCTATATTGTGTGTGTGTGTGTGTGTGTGTGTGTGTGTGTGTGTGTGTGTGTCAGGTTGAGGGGCAGTTAACCTTGACTGAAATATCTATTAAAGCACATCAGAAGTAGGCGCTGAAAACGCCCATCACTGAGACGGTTGCGTTTTGGGGTGAGCACAAAGACTGCCAAGACTAAAAAGTCTTTCTACTGGTGCGCTGGATGGCGTTGGTGCATTGTAGCGGAGTGCAATTTCTTTAATTCTTGGAAAATGATGAAGACTTTCCATCACAGGAGCAGAATTCAAGTAAGATGTTACCTCTGTTTCCACTGACATGAGTGCATCAGCTGAGACACTTCCCTGGTCATCAAAGGAGAAAAAGTCCTGCTCACTTGGGGCAAAAGCAGCAGATTGAGAAGGACCGGGCATCGGGGCTACAGGTTCCTCTGTTGTTAGTGTGCGACACTCAGCTGTAAGAAGGAGAGTGATGTGGTCTCTTTTGTTCTCTTCTTTTACCCAGCGCAACTTAAACATGGGCAATGAGACAGAAGCCAGTAGGGCATCCTAGATTTATATAAATAAAGTTGTGTCTGGTTCTAGCATTTCATATTTCCTAGTTACTACTGCATGAGTTCAGATGTATTAATCCATGCACTTAAATATTAATGTTCTGATTTTATTGAAACACTTGTTTTGTAATAGTTTCTTTACTATTGTGATAAAAAATATTTAATCTCAATTCTGAGGCTGCTCTGTAAATAGTTTTCAAATAAACAATACACATCTCAACTTCTGATCATTCCATATCAATTTCAGACTTAAAATAATATATTGATGTAAACCACACCCACTTCCGGGTTATGCCACGCCCATTCCGAGTACAGATACAGATACAGATAATTTAGTTGGTTGAACAGATACAGATACAGATAGTGGTGTACTCGCTCATCCCTAATGTTCATCTTCATCAGTGCTAGCAAGCACACTGTGAAGGTATGTAAAGTGTGCTTCCTCTTCACAAATGTCCTCATCCACTTCTTCCTCCTCTTGGAAGGAGTCTTATCTCCAGCCGGTGCGGGGTTTTTCTTTGTGGAAAAGAAAGATGGATCCCTTAGGCCTTGTATCGACTATCGTGCCCTGAATGACATCACCATAAAAAATCGCTATCCCTTACCACTCATAAACACCGCTTTTGACTCTCTTCACGGAGCCCGAATATTTACTAAACTGGATCTACGCAACGCCTACCACTTGGTTCGCATACGTGAAGGAGATGAATGGAAGACTGCTTTTAACACCCCCACAGGACATTATGAGTATCTCGTCATGCCATTTGGACTAACTAATGCACCTGCTGTTTTTCAGGTCCTCATCAATGATGTTCTTAGAGACATGGTGGGCAGTAGTGTGTTGGTCTATCTCAATGACGTTTTGGTATTTTCTCCTGATCCAGAGACCCACCAGAAACACGTACATGCCGTACTTCTCCGCCTCCTCCAGAATAACTTGTTTGTCAAAGCTGAAAAATGTGAATTCCATTGTACCACTGTCTCTTTCCTTGGTTTCACTATTTCTCCCAATCAGATTGCCATGGATCCTGCCAAAACTTCTGCCGTTGTCAACTGGCCTGTTCCCACATCCCGTAAACAGCTCCAACGGTTCCTAGGATTTGCCAACTTCTATTGGAGATTCATAAAGGGATACAGTAAGATAACCACACCTCTGCATGCCCTCACTTCCAGCAAGGTCAGTTTTTAATGGAATAAGTCAGCCCAAGACTCATTCCAAAAACTCAAAGACATGTTTACGTCCGCACCAGTCCTGCATTTACCCGATACCACAAGACAGTTTATTGTTGAAGTTGATGCCTCTGCCTTTGGAGTTGGGGCTGTCCTCAGTCAGAGATCCAAGGACGATAAGGTACATCCATGTGCATTTTTCTTCAAGACTCTTTCATCCACAGAGTGCAATTATGATGTCGGAGACAGGGAGCTTTTGGCCATCAAACTTTCACTGGAAGAATGGCGGCATTGGTTGGAGGGGGCTGTTACACCATTCATTGTGTGGACCGATCATAAGAACTTGGAATACATCAAAACAGCAAGAAGACTCAACTCTCGACAAGCCAGGTGGGCCATATTTTTTAGTCGATTCAACTTCACTCTGTCTTATCGCCCAGGAGAGATGAACACAAAACCCGATGCCCTGTCCAGATCTATGGAACCCACAATAACAGACCAGGACCACGATTCCGACTCTCTGATCCTCCCACAAAGAGTTTTGCTTGGAGCATCCAGACTGGAGCTGGAGAATCAACTCCGACAGGCCCACCAGCAATATCCTGTGCCTCCCCAGCGTCCTCCTGACCGCCTGTTTGTTCCTGATGCCCTCCGTTCCCAGGTACTCACCTTATGCCACAGTTCCCATCTCTATTGCCATACAGACATCTCCAAAACACTGGCCCTCATACGCAATCATTTCTGGTGGTCTACCCTGTCTAGAGATGTTAAAGAGTTTGTGTCCTACCTGTGCCAAAGCCAAGACCTCTCGCCGACCCATGGCTGGATTGTTACGGCCATTACCTATCCCCTGCCGTCCCTGGTCTCACATCAGCATGGATTTCATCACGGGTCTTCCCCCTTCTGATGGGTTTAAGGTAATTCTCACCATTGTGGACCGATTCTCGAAAATGTCTCATCTGGTTCCTCATAGGAAACGTCCCTGCTAAAGATATGGCCGACATCGTGGCGAGAGAGGTGTTTCGCCTTAATGGATTGCCCCTGGACATCGTCTCTGATCGTGGCCCTCAGTTCATCTCTGGCTTTTGGAAGGAGTTCTGTGCTCGTTTGGGCATTCAAGTGAGTCTCATCCGGTTTTCACCCCCAGACCGATGGCCAATCGGAGAGGATTAACCAGGAGGTGGAGACCAGACACCGTACACTCTGTGAGGGCGATGCAACCTCCTGGTCTCGTAACTTGCCCTGGGTGGAGCATGCCCTCAATTCCCTTCCGTCAAGTTCCACAGGTGTTTCCCCATTCTATGCCGTCTATGGTTTTCAACCTCCCGTGTTCTCCCTGCAGGATCATGTGTCCAGGGTTCCATCGGCCCAGGCGGCTGCTCTCAGGTGTCATCGGGCATGGAGGATAGCCTGCAGGAACCTCGTCCGCTCCTCTGCAGTCTACTCCCGCTCGGCCAACCGTCGTTGCATACCTGCTCCTACCTACAGTCTTGGGCAAAGAGTCTGGTTGTCCACTAAGGATGTTCCCCTCAGGGTGGATTGCCGCAAGCTGGCTCCTCGATTCATTGGACCCTTCCCTGTGTCTAAGGTCATCAATCCTGCAGCAGTACGCCTCCGTCTCCCCAGGCTGCTTCGCATTCATCCCACCTTTCACGTCTCCAGGATCAAGCCCGTCGTCTCCTCGGCTCCTGTGCCCGCCTCCGGACCCCCTCCGCCTGCCCGGCTGGTGGGGGGTGGGCCAGTTTGGGATGTCAGGCGGCTCCTACGATCCAGGTGCTGGGGTTGGGGACTTCAGTACCTGGTGGATTGGGAGGGGTTTGGCCCTGAGGAACACAGTTTGTAAGTCACCGCTTGTCCATTGGGGACATTATTGGGGTGTGGCGTGCGTATGCCGGAGAGCAAAGGCTGGAGGAAGCTGCTGTGTATTTCGCCTCGAGACGCAGCAGACTGTGCGTGTTGGTTTGCGCTGAAGAACAGCTGTTTCCGTCAATCAAAGCCGTCTGAAGACGTTTGATGCTGCGTTTTGATGCATGTGATAAAGAAACAATGAATGAAATGAAAGAAATGGAATGTGAATTGAAAGAAAAAAGATCTGCTAAACCCACGGCAAATGCGCTCGCCTGTAAAATGGAAAATTTGCAGAAAGAACGACAATTCCACGTGAATAAAATTAAAGGGTTATCCCGTGAAATTAAAGAATTAATGAAGAATAATGATAACGCAAAAGATGTACAAACCAACTTGGAAAGATTGAATACATTGTATGATAACGCAAAAACAGCTCATGATTCGTTTATGTTATTAATCTCAAAAGATGAGCACAGCACTCAAGATGAATGGTTTGGACGCATAATAAAAAGTAATGCTGCTTTTGTTGAAGACATGAAGCAGTGGCTTCATGAAACTGGAAGGTCATTTATGAGAACCGGCCATGTTCAAGAGGCCGTGCCCGTTGTCGCTGGGCCAGAATTACCTGTTCCTACAGAGATAATTTCATCAAAGGAAGCACAGGACCCACAAGATGAAATAAAACCAGAAGATAGCATTTCAAATGTGGGAAGTAAAAGAAGTAAAGGAAGTTCAGCCGGCTCGAACTCCAGAGTGCCAAGTGCAACCTCTGCTCGGATAATGGCTGAAGCAGAAACAGCTGCACTGGTTGCCAAACAAAAACTGCTTAAAGATAAGCATTCCTTAGAGGAACAAGAGGCACAATTAAGGAGAAAGAGGGAGCAATTGGAGCTGGAAATAGACATTGCCGCTAGTATGGCAAAGATGAAAGTCCTTATAGGCTCAAAGGGATCCAGCATTAAAAGTAAATCGTCAATACCATCTGATGCTATGATGTCATATTTTGAAAAGGCATTAAAGGAAGCAGCAAGTAACGTGTTAGACATCAGGACTGGTGCTGTTGCATAAAAAAAACATGTGCACACATTACCAGAATGTAACGCTGCAGATTCACGACCACTTTTTAATACAGATAGAGTCACAACTCAATCTCAAACCCATTCTGCAGATCTCTTAACTTGCCAAGCAAACACCAGTTAACCTGCAATTCGACATGTCACATCTCAGCTTTCTGGTCAAGAGGGAAATTCCAACATTATATCTGTGATGAGTAAGCAAAATGAACTCACAGCTTTACTGATCCAGCAACAAGGCCTTTCTGCATTACCCAAGAAGGAGATGCCAATTTTCGATGGTGATCCACTTCAGTATCAGACTTTCATCAGATCCTTTGAACACAATATTGAAAACAGGAATAAAAATCCTGGAGACCAACTTTATTATTTGGAACAACACACAAGGGGACAACCAAGAGCCTGCACATGAGCCCAGAAAGAGGATTTGAAAGAGCAAAGTCTTTATTACTGCAGCATTTTGGAAACGAACACAAACTTGCTACAGCTTATATGAACAAGGCTCTTTCTTGGGTGTCAATTTGTCACGAACTCCTCCAGCTGACTGCATTCCATTCATTCCTGCCACCAACGTGGCGACTGACGTCATCACGCCTTAAGGAAGTGCTGGCGTTTCATTCATTGCTCAGTCATCGTTCTCACCAGACTTTGTATCGAGTCTCCAGGCTTACCAACCCTCTAAACCCTCAAGCTAAACCTACAGGAGATAACCACGCCGGTTATCTCCGTCTCTCCGCGTCTGGGCAACAGAACTCTCAGTCACGCTTCAGATCTGCCAACGAACCTGACACAATTAAACCGGGCTCTTCAATCATACACAATATTTCTTAGAGGTTGTTGTAATGCTATGGAGGATCTGAACTATATTAAGGAGCTTGATATGCCAGCCAACATGCTCGCCATTGTACAAAAGTTGCCCTATCGACTTATAAGTAGAGAACATTTGTCTGTGACTTTTATGAGAAACATAATCAACAAGCTAAATTCAAGGACATGATTGATTTTCTTGAAAAGCAAGTAAAGATTGCATCGGATCCAGTTTTTGGGGACATCAAAGATGTGCACACAATGAACAAAGACACAAGAAAGCCGAAGTCGCAAGCTTATTCAAGATCTAAGGAAAGTTCTTTTGAGACTTCTGTGACAGCATCTGAAAAGGAAAATGACGAGGACAAGAAAATGAAAATTAATAAAGAGCAAATGTATTGCTTGTTTTGTAAAGGAGACCGTGTTCTAGAAAAGTGTCAAGAGTTTGAAAGTAAAACACATAAAATAACCTTTCTAAAAGCAAATGGTGTCTGTTTTGGATGCCTTTGTAAAGGTCACATTAGTAAGGATTGCAGAAAGTGCTTAAACTGCAAAACCTGTGGATTAAAACATCCTCACTGCTACACATACCCCAAAAAAGGACAACAAACAATGTTCCAGAAGGAGCAATGGAACAAGCTAGGGAACATGCTGTAGTCTCTATTCAGATAAGTACTCTTACTGGGGCCGGTAGAGATAAAATCAAACTGTCAATAGTAGGGTTGTCGCGGTAACTGGTATAGCGGTAAACCCCGGTAAAAAAGTTGACAATAAAAATTACCGTCCAGTTTTTAATAAAGTAAATTATCTCGGTGGGTTTACCGTGGCCGCGGTTTCGGCGCGGTGACCCTTACCAGCCACCGTCGCTTCAGCTGAAGTTCCCGCGGCGCACACACGCCTTTTTAGTTTGCAACGGCACCAAAACTTTGAAGCTGAAATAATGGCCGAAGGAGGAGACGGCAGCGCCCAGGACATCCATCAGCCCTCAAAGAAGACTAAATCGGAAGTATGGGCATATTTTGGATTTCTGAAAAACGCTGAGGGACAGTTAATAGAAGACGGCTATCCCGTTTGCAGAACGTGCAGGAAAAAAGTGTCTGCAAAAGGCAGCAACACTTCGAATCTCATGGCACATCTGCGTGACCATCACCCACGTCTCTACAGCCAGTGCAAGGTAAGTTAACATTAGCATTTTAGCTTAAATGCATGACGTGAGAACTTTTGGTTGAGGGAGAATGCAACGAGTCACTATATACTGTAGCCGCAGCGTCCTCTGCCAGCATTTAAACCGTGTCACGGACACCCTGTTGCTGGATGAAGCATCTTATTTGTTGATGATGAAGAGAAATATACAATTAGTTCCTTGTCATTGATTTGTTTACTTATTCAATGCCATTTATACTTGAACATTTGGATTTGATTACATAGTGTAGTAGTTATTTTAGTAATTTGTTTAAAGTGGCTATTTATTTTAAAAACATATTTTTTAAGGTTGACTTGTACAGTGCTCAAGTCAAGTGTGGACTGGAGTTTTAGATTTTCATTTTGATAATGAAGAAAACAAGTATATGAGAAAACAAGTGGTGTTTCTTTGATTTGTTTACATATTGTTTATGTTTTGAATGTTTGGATTTGTATCATTTAAACCTGCACTGACTACTGTAACATGTTCCAGAAAAAGAAGCTATTTGTTCCTTTACTTGTGAAAAGTTGCACTTTTGCTAAGGCTTTGTGTTATTTTAGGTTTAATAAACACTGTTAAACCTTTTCAAAACTATTTCAGTTTGTGTAGAACAGGACTATCAATGCTTTCTGAACATATGCAACACCGTTTAAAAAATACCGCGAAAATACCGAAAACCGTGATAATTTTGGTCACAATAACCGTGAGGTTAAATTTTCATACAGTGACAACCCTAGTCAATAGTACCTGTGAGGGTTAAATCGATAAAAGGAAATGTGACAGTGAATACGTATGCATTTCTTGACCCGGGAAGTACTGCATCATTTTGCACAGAGAAGCTTATGGATAAGCTAAATCTTCAAGGAAGAAAATCCAACATTTTGTTGAGAACCATGGGACAAAAGAAGGTTGTTGAAACACATATTGTTTCAAATTTGGAAGTTGCTGGACTGGAAGACAATGAATTTTATGATCTTCCCACTTTTTACACCCAGAAGGCTATGCCTGTGAAAAAATAAAATATTCCAAATGAAAGTGACATAAAACAGTGGTCATATTTGCAGTCAATACATCTACCTGAAATCGACTCAGAAATTGATTTGCTGCTTGGCTCGAATGTGCCTAAGGTCCTAGAACTGCTAGACGTGGTCAAAAGTGTTGGAGATGGACCATATGCAGTTAAGACTGCACTTGGCTGGACAATTAATGGACCCTTGGGTGAAACCCAAACCAAAGAGGAACCCCAGCTAAGCATCAATAGGATATCCGTGGAGAAGCTTGATGACTCTGGCCTCTTCAATTCAAAACAGATTTTCCAGAGTGTGCCAGAGATGAAAAGGAACCTTCCAAGGAAGATCAGAAATTTCTGGACAAAGTTTCTAATAGTGTAAAGTTGCAAAATGGACATTAATACATTGGACTCCCATTTAAAGACTCAGGATTCTGCATGCCAGATAATAGAGCTGTGGCAGAGCAACGTCTTCAAAACCTGAAAAGAAAGTTTATAATGAACTCATCTTTTCTTCAAGACAACAATAACTTCATGTCTGACATAATCTCCAAAGGTTACACAGAAAAAGTTACAGAAGACAATCTGGAACGCAGCAGTGGCAAAAAATGGCACCTGCCTCACCGTGGTGTACTCCACCCATAAAAGAATGAACTCAGAGTGGTGTTCGACTCTGTGGCCAAGTACAATGGAGTCTCGCTGAATAGCCAGCTCTTACAGGGGCCCGACCTAACCAGCACATTGATCGGAGTTCTGACAAGATTTCGTAAAGAACCTGTCGTTATTGCTGCAGACATTAAATCAATGTTCTATCAGGTAAAGGTACCAGAAGAGGACAGAGACTTGTTAAGTTTGGATGGATGTAATGTGGAAAAAGGAGCTCCAAATGGAACTGACGGATTCAGTATTTTGGACTGATAGCACCTCGGTGCTAAAATACATAAACAATAAAACAACACGATTCCGCACCTTTGTTGCCAACAGAGTTTCCGAAATCACCAGGGTTTCAAATGCTCAACAATGGAGACACATCAAAACAGAAAGCAACCCAGCAGATTTGGCTTCTCGAGGTATGATCGTTACATCGTTACGAAAGAATAAAAGGACATGGTTGTCTGGACCTTCGTTTCTCCTGTTACCACAAGAGGAATGGCCTTATAACCCCGATGAAGTAGAAGAGATCTCATCACATGATGCAGAAATAAAGACAACTGTGAACGCTGTTCAAGCATCAAGAGAAATAGAACCTGTTTCTTGTTTCATTCAACGTTTCTCATCCTGGACTAATTTGAAATGAGCAGTATCATGGATCGTAAGAGTTAAAGAACTGCTTTACTGCTTTTATACAACAGTAGAAGAAGAATTCAAACCAAGAACAGTTCTGAACAAAAACATGATGGACAAGCAAACAATGAAAGGCTTATGCTCACAAACAATCTGTCAGTTGAAGAACTGGACAATGCTGAAACCGCCATGATCTCCTTTTGTCAAAGGAAAGATTTTAGAGATGAAATTTCCTGTTTAACAAAAGAAAACAACGTTAAAGGAACTAGTCACATCCACAAACTCAATCCAATTTTGAAAGAAGGTGTATTGAGAGTTGGTGGGCGACTACACAGAGCATCCATGCCAGATGAGATGAAACATCCTGTGATTATGGCCAAAGACTCTCACAGTGCAAATCTAATTCTACAACATATCCATAAAGAGGTGGGTCATGGAGGCCGCAATCATATGCTCGCCAAAGTGCACCAAAAGTACTGGATTCCAGGCGTTATAGTACCAATCAGAAGAATTGTAGCAAAATGTGTTGTGTGTCGAGGCATACATGCTTCACCAGGACACCAGCAGATGGCAGATTTGCCCTTACATAGGGTAACACCTGATAAACCACCTTTCACCTATGTTGGGGTTGATTATTTCGGACCTTTTCCAGTAAAGCGGGGACGAAACGTAAAGTGCTATGGTGTGATATTCACATGTTTGGCATCAAGAGCTATTCACATAGAGATGGCATCATCACTATTGTAGTGAAATAGAGTGATGTAATGATCTAGAGTTGTATTTTAATATACTGTAAGTAGATCACTTGTTATAATCAGAAGAATAGATTGTTTTTATCATCAGGGAGTTCATTTAACACTCTGTATTGACCTTGAGACAAGAAAAGAGAGAGTTGGGATCGTTTAAGAATTTTATTATAAATTCTACAATCTATCAGGACTAACTCTGTGTTGTTTGGAAATGAATGTGATGTTTGATGTGTGTGTGTGTGTGTGTGTGTGTGTGTGTGTGGTTGGTTCAGACTCCTTAGGCTGACGTCATTGAATCTGGTAGTCTTTGATTGTTATGACTAGATATCACGAGGCTTATAAAGTGATGACATGAGCTGCTATTTTGCCGTGTACGTACCCAGTGGGGGCCTCCCAGGTAGATCAGGAAATGCCAGGTCTGAAGACCTCGGATGTGCGCTGGAGCTGGTCGAAACAGCAGTCGCAGCGTTTCAAAGCCCGTCTGAAGGGTCGACCCAGGTAACAATCGGCAGCGTCAGCAGGTGCTCTTATTTTGAAAGGATGTCGTCTGGTTGTTAAACGACGAAAATCTCCAACTTCACAGTTCTTAGTTTAAAGAAGAAAACACGTCTGGCCAGGCTGTGCTTCTCTTTGGGATGACGGTGAATAGAACTAAAGTCAAAATGGAACTGAGCTTAAAATGGCGTTGCCTTGTTTTATATCTCTGAATTGTTGATAAGTTTTAGTAAAGCGGAATGGATACTTTAAGTCAACAAGCCAGATTTTCTTGCGGCAGCCGAAGGCTCTGATTGGTTGGAGCAATGTGTCATGCGTTGCCATGGGGATGAGTGTCAGTCTGTCTGTGCATGTCGTCCTGTTTACTCATTAAACACATAAATCATGACATCTTTATTTCACAGATCATTCACTTGATTATTATTGATCAACATATGTTTTGCTTAATTTTTAATCACAAATAAAGTACTTTGATTAAGTAAAAGCGTTCTTCTTCCTTCTTCTGGAATGTAAACAGTCTGAGGATCAGACGACCTTGGCGTTTTCTACACGGGTGTAAATGTGTACAGGGGCAGCATTTAGGAGCTGAAAATCATAACTTCATAACGTTACACTGGATACAGATTCATTTATCAATGCCCTTCGCCGCTTTATCGCCAGACGAGGTCAAGTGAAAGAACTAAGATCTGACAACGGCATCAATTTTGTTGGAGCCTATCGTGAGCTAAAGGAAATGATACAAAGATGGAATCAAAGTCGTATACACAATACGCTTCTCCAAAATAACCTAAAATAGACTTTTCATCCACCAACTGGTTCTCATCATGGCGGCGTATGGGAGAGACTCATACGATCTGTAAGAAGAGTTCTCAACTCTGTCTTAAACTTATAAAATCTTGATGAAGAGAGTCTCAGGACAGTTTTCTGTGAAGCAGAAGCTGTTTTAAACGATCAACCAATTACAAAGGCTTCTACGGATCCGAATGACCTTGAAGCATTGACCCACAACCATCTGCTACTTCTGTAAACGATACCATCACTTCCACCAGGATGCTTTCACAAGGAAGACCTGTATTTGCGTCGAAGATGGAAACAAGTCCAATATATGGCAGATCTATTCTGGAAGCGATGGATCAAAGAATGTCTGCCACAACTACAACAAAGACAGAAGTGGTTCAACCCACAACGGAACTTTATGCCTGGAGACATCGTGATCATCGTTGATGAGTCATCGCCATGGAATTCCTGGCTAACTGGAAAGATTCAAGAGACTATCGAAGACAAAAAAGGAGTTGTTCTTCATCTTCGGATCAAGACGAAGACTGGATTCCTGAATAGACCTATCACCAAAGTCTGTCTTTTGCAGGAGACTGAGAACATTTAGGAACTTGGACTGACTTTTCATCTTAAAGTTTTGTTTTCTTTTTCTTCGTGGGTATTGGCTTCATAGATTTACCAGGAAGTTATCGGTAATCGTAATGATGAATGTAACACTAAACAAAATAACTTTGTTTGAAATTTAGAACTGATGTAACTTGACATACTTGAGTTTTGTAATTATTACTAGAAGTATCATAATTAGGGGCCGGTATTGTCGGTACCAAATTGAATGTTTTTGTTTATTAGCCATGGCGCAGGTGTTTTAATTTTTCATCATGCTACAGGTGACAGAAGGGGGGTGGGGGTGGGGGTGGGGGTGTGTGTGGGGGGGTCGCCTACCTCTTATTTATCAGTTGAATGTCCAACTGGTCAGTGAGTGGTTGCCATGAAAACTTTTCTGTTGACCGTCGGTATCGTTGTTACTTTAAACCATTTAATATAACAGAAGCCAATTCATTTATCCCAACCTATGTATTCTAATCATAAATAAAAAAACAAATAAGACGATTCAAAATGGTTTGTTGGAAGACGCATCACAGCCTGGCCCACTCACCCACAGCAGCGTTTTCAATGGAAAGAAGCTGCTACAATATATATATATATATATATATATATATATATATATATATATATAATGGTTACATAAAATACGTGTTACACAGTGGGAAATGTCTGTATTTTAATTAGCATGATTTGTTGTATGTTCTTTCCTTTTTTGTATGGTTTTGTGATGAACATCGGTTTTGCGTGTGTTTGAAGCATTCTTCCCCCTGTGGAACTCCCCAGAGACATTGGGACAATTGCTGAACTGAGTAGGGGAAGGACCACAATTAGTCCTGCAGGTGAGACTCCCACAGGTGTAGCTCGTTGATGGAAGTGCTCTTAAGAGCTGAGGAAGGAGAGCCAGGTGGTCAGAACAGCTGGGATGGCAGACAGGAGAGCCAACGAAGAGGCAGAGGGTGGCATCTCGAGCACACATGTGCCCGAACCCCTCGGAACAAAAGAGTACCCAAAGCACAGTCCCGGAGTATGGACGGCGGCCGAGTGCGGAGGAGCGTGGGTGTCCCTCTCTCCGCATGTGTGAGGTGTGCCTGCTGGCGCCACTGTCTGGCCAGGACCTGGGACCGAGGAGGGTGACGTGCCCACCAAGCGCAGCTGTGCCAGGGAGCTGCAGGAGATTTGGAGGAGAGGAGTGCGCCAGGAGGATATCTGCAGTCTGCCGGAGTGACAGCTGAGTGACAGGTTGCGCACGAGGTTCGGGGGCCACAAAAAGGCGGCCCACGGGCTGCACATGGCCCGCGGGCCGCCTATTGGTGAACACTGATCTAGCTTGAGAGTAATTGGGCGTGGTTTGGCTCAGAATGACTAGTTATCAAGATTGGCACAAAAGAGTTGAATTATCTAATTTCTCACTGGTTTCACATGTTTTAGATGAAACTAATATTTGAGACTCTTAAAAAATATTTTTAAATTGGGAAACCCAAAGAAAACGATTAGAACTTTCTAACCCTAACCATAATCAAAGGAAAGCATGTCTGCAACTAAAAGAGCACAACGGACAGTTTCAGAAACAGGGTCTTTTGACACATTTGGAGATGCTGAATGAATCTTCAGCTGCAGGCCTTAGTAAAATCATTCAAGAAGCATTATTAATATCCCATCTGAATATATCATGGTTTGAAAATCTACGATAAAAATTTACCTCAGCATTAACAAGGGTGTTCCTCAAGGATCAGTCGTGGTGACACACATACTTTTTTTTAAATTGACGTTTAATTGCATCAAATGTGAATAAAATTTTTCTGGGGTGAGATGCAACAAGCTTTGTGCACTGAAACTTGTTTGGGAGCCAACAACAGTTTACTTTTCAAACGTAAACCCTTCTGTCAATCACCAGCCTCCAGAGTCCTGAAACTCAGACAGCATCTTAACACACATACGATTCAGAGTGATTTTTATCCTATTTTTGTGGTCTTTTTAACTAGCATCAACTCGTGCTGCCCCTTGGAGACCAGCAGATGACTTGTCACCACCACTGACAGGTCTGTGGTGAATGTCAATGTACACATACTGATGATTTTGGTGTGTGTGTGTGTGTGTGTGTGTGTGTGTGTGTGTGAGCGTGCTGAATGGTAAAAAGATGTTGGCTTTCTCACAGTTTGCTGCTTCAATGTTTTTAGACATTTGACTCAGATCAAGTAGACTTGCAGAACTTCTCATAGATTTCTTAGATATAAAATGCTTTTATCGGCAATGGGGCTGGATGGTTTAAGGATTCAATTGGAATTTTTCTGGCAATAATTGTGATTTCAATTTTATTCATGATTTTTTTTCAAGCTTCTGCACAATATTACTATAGATAGCAACATTTACAAACACGACAGGGAATGACATTGTACCCTCCAAACATTAACATCTCCATCCATCCATCCATCCATCCATCCATCCATCCATCCATCCATCCATCCATCCATCCATCCATCTACTTATGCAGGTTCGGGTCACGGGAGCAGTAGCCTAAGTAGACAGGCCCAGACATCCCTTTCCCCAGCCACTTGGGCCAGCTCCTCCGGGGGAATCCCAAGGTGTTTCCTGGCGTTCCCAAACATTTTACCCTTTTTTCACCTGGTTTTGGAGGCGCTTTACACTCGGCTGCAACCCGCTCCAGTGAGAGCTGGACATCAAGTTCTGATAAAGCCAACAGGACCACATAATCTGCAAAAAGCAGAGACCTGATCCTCAGGCCACCAAAACAGATCCCCTCCACACCTTGGCTGTTCCTAGAAATCCTGTCCATAAAAATTATGAACAGAATCGGTGACTAACGGCAGCCCTGGTGGAGTCCAACTCACAGGGAACGAGCCCGACTTACTGTTGGCAACACAGACCAAGCTCTGACACCGGTCATACAGGGAGCTAACAGCTCGTATCAGAGGGTCTGGTACCCCATACTCCTGGAGAACTCCTCCTCTCAGAGAGAGTTACTCCAGAGTGGAGGAGCTTCCAAGCCCTCTTGAGGAAACTGCGTCTGGAGCCATGAGTCTAGGTGAGTCCAACTACACCTATCCAGAACCTCTCAGCCTCACACACCCACTACTCGGGCTCCTTCCCCACCAGAGGGGGGGCATTCCACGTACGGCACCTGCCTTCAGCTAACGCTCGTCCCATAACGTGGCACAGTCAAAATGACTAAACAAATAATAAAAAGGTGAATAAAAAACTCAAAATAAAATATATATAATGTAGTTTTGAACCTAAAGGTCCCAATGGCCGATAAGTTGTAATTGTTTCTTTTAGCTGATTTCCTTATTTAGATTTTTCTCATTATTTATACGTCCCTAAGTTAAAACACCACCTCTACAGGAAGACAGACCTTTAAGTTGTGTTTAAATGCTGACTTTCTCCATAACAGGTAAAATCCCTCTCAGATGGAGCGTCTCGCCATCTATTTACCAACATGAAAGGAGTGTTAAGCAGCTGCTTCCGTCGTCCCTCTGAGAGAAAGAGCTCTGGCTAAAAATGGCTTACAGTGGCTGCTTGTCGTATCCACACTGAGGAGGGAAGGGCTCTCTCTCTCTCTCTCTCTCTCTCTCTCTCTCTCTCTCTCACACACACACACACACTCATTTATACACACACACTCACAATTCAGCATCTCCGCTCCCACGACTCGTAAATCCGCTGGACTGATGAGCCACAGAGGAAGCTTTCAGTTGGAGGGAGGATCTCTAACAGCTCCGGTGAGAGGTGAGTCTGATTATTCCTGTTATTATAGATTGTCTGAACGTTTTATCCCAGTAAAAAGAAACACTGGTGGGAGACAGAACAGCTGTTTTACTTTGAAAGGACATTCATCACAATGTTATCATTATTTCTAGATTTACCCACAATGACACTTTGTCTGTTTGGGAGTGAATTCTTCTTGTTTGGTTGATGTAAGACTATCTGGACGGCGTTCTGGAATCTCTAGGAAACAACGTTCCTAAACTCTGCACACTAATGAGCACCGGTTCAGAAGGTTCACACGTAACAGGCTTTCATCTTCAGTTGAGTCAAAACTAAATCAGCAGCAGGTCTTTCCATCCTGCGGATAACTTTGTAGACAGCTGAATGCTGCGTGCGCAGAAATGAGACTGTCTTTTGCAGTGAAGAATAATTTCAAAGTGTTGATTAAACTTCAGCCAGAGAGAGGCTCCTGGTGCTCCATCTTATGGAAACACAAACACAGCCAGGTCCAAATGCTGCTCGGTCCCATGGCAAGCTGCCAGATCTGCATCCGTTACGCCTGAAATTCCTCCTGTTCCATCACGATAACAGTGTGTGTGTCCAAAAAACTCTGGAAGTGACTCGTTTCCGCTTAGCTGGTGGCTGTTTTGCATCAAATCTGAACAAATGGCCAGGTTGGATTTGAATCAGGAGGGTGGAGAGTTTATTTAATGAACATCACGCTGATTCCACACCTATACTAGACATGCTTTCCAATCTAACCCTTGACGCATTGTGGAGGAAAGTATCATTTTCTCTGTCAGAGTTCAGCCTCCATCAAGTCAAAGCTGCAGCAGCTCTAAGCATCTCAGTGTGACACGAGGTGCTGCTGCTCTGACAAACACTCCCACTGGTCAGAAAAATAAAGCACCATCCTTTTTGAGCAGCTTGGAGTCCTTTTGTTTGGTTTTAATTAAAAAGGCTCCATTTATTATACATCCTGCACACCTGCAGACGGAGATGTTCTTTATTAAAGCTCAATAGGGACACGGTTGGAGCACAGCTGGATAACAGCTGACTGCGATTACTCATCAGGTACAGTCAGAAGTCAGTCAATACAAGGGAATTATTAAAACCTAATGATATTTTATGTTTTTGCTTCACATTCATGTGTGGGAGTTTAGTAACACAGCTATGTTTTCACAGTACATTCAGCATTAAATAAATCAGCTTTACATGAAAACATAAGGCAGCTAAATAAAGAAGCACTGCCGTTTTTATGCACGTTGTTTTATTGTAGAAAGACTAAAACCAGTAAAAACAACCTGAGAGGTGCACATGTGGATGAAGGGGCTTTCATTTAAAACAAGGACTTCTTTAACCACGGCTCTATTTGTGTTGCTGTTTTTCATGTTTATCTGAATGAAGACAGAAAAAAATTAATTCTCTCGTTCTGTTTAAACTCATTTAAATCCTGCGTGAACCATTCACTTTAAATCCTCACCCTAACTGTCCCACCGTGAGTAAGGGTCCATGAACACATCTGGAAGTGTGATTAAAGAGTAAAACAGCAGCTCAAGGTGCCAAATACCATCCGGATATAGAAGTCCATCCCTCCACCTGGACCAATGAAAGCGTGTACATCTGTTTAGATGTGAACATTGTCTTGTTTGTCACCTTTTATAAAACGCCGTACACACCACTCCAGATGACTCTAACTAAACACTGAAATAACCAGATCTCACCACAAGGGGGCTAAACATCAAAATACAGAGACAGGAGAGTCTTGTTTTTCATGAACTTTTTATAAGCAGGAAGTTCCAACAACACCAGAACATTTAGAACACACAACAACCAACTTCCTGTTTATAACATCTTATCGATTCAAAAGCATCCTTCTCTAGTGTCCACCAGTGAGCACATTCTAGTCAGCAAGTCTCTAAAGATCAAATCCATCCAAGAGGCTGTTGTATCTACAGTTGCATGACTGTGCCTCGCTGATAATAGTTCCATGTTGGCAGATTCCATTTATACTAGAAGCTGGTGCACAGGTGGTTTCCAGCTATGATGCCAGCTTCTACGGGACATCATCCAGTGACAGGAACTGAGGGAAGACGGACACCAGAAGAACAACAAAGTACTTTAATCCAGAGGTCCTGAACCCCAGAACAGTAAAAGCAGGGGAAGTGGGTTGATAGGCTGTGGCTTGTTCTGAGGTAATGAGCAGGCTGCTCTGGTCCGTGGAGGTTAAAGGTGAAGCTGAAATCAATGGAACTTGTTTTACTGGTCTTTACTGGTAACCAGCGCTCCCCTATGGTCATGAGTTTTGGATTATGACTCAAAGGTCATTGATACTCAAGGTTACTTTGAAAATTAAGTCAGTATGGAATAAGAGGTGTGGCTCATCAATGGGTGAAAACTTCTTTAGACAAAAGGAAACAATTTGTTCAGATAAAGGACCATAAATCAAAACTATGTGATATTAATTGTGGAGTGCCACAAGGGCCGGTCCTTGGACCAAAACTGTTCATTTTATTTATTAACGACTTGGTAAATGCATCTAAGACATTCAGTACCATTCTATTTGCAGATGATTATTAAATATAAATTACTGAAATTTCATGATTTAAAAGACTGGAAAATCTTACAAACCATGCATAAAGCCAATTTAGGTACTCTGCCAGCAAACATTCAGGGGATATTTGAAAAGAGAACTAGTAATTACATGCTGAAAGTAACTGATGTGTTTACAAAACCTGGATTTAGAACTAAAATTAAGGAGTGGAATATATCTGTAAATGGTGTTAAATTATGGAATAGCCTTAAAAGGGAAATAAAAAAAAAACTCTGCCATTTATTAAATTCAAAATATGTACCAAATTGAGTGTACTAAATAATTTTGAAAATGTAAATTAAATCAATGATCATGATCGCACTGGAATTTAGAACAGGAACATTTTTAAATGAATCTGTATGTGTGTGTCTGACAAATTGAAATTGTATATAAATAGATTATTTCTTCCGGAAAAGGGGGCAGAAATTATAAGATGTTTTCCTTCATTCTGCTCCTTTTCGTTCAAATTAAATTTTTTGTTATATATTTCTTATTGTTTATATGTTTCATTTGTTTTTATTTTGAATGAAATAAACGAAAAAAAAAAAAGATCCTGGATGCAAGCAGCTGAAATACCTTTAGTACATGGTTACCAGCATATACTATCTCCATCGTCCAGGTGGAGCTCAGAGTTGGGCTGTTGGAGAGGTAGGTCAGGTATCTGACTGGGATGCCCCCTGGTGGCCTTCCTTTAGGGGTCCGTCAGCCCATTTTGGCCGACCCCAAACTCTGTAGGGGGACCCTTTCTGGCCTGGGAAGGATTTAGATCCTCTGGGGAAGAGCTGGAAAACGTCTCTTTGTAAAACGATGAATGGGTGTTTCTCATGGACCTGATACCAACTATGGAGGAGCTGGAGAGCAGTCAGGATAAAGTCAGAAAACCTTAAAAACAGCTCCTTTGTATTTGTTTTTAAGACACAAAGCAACACTGGGCGGCTGAATACCTCCAGTTACACGGGGAGGGGCGCTCTTTTAAATTCCCAGTTTGGAACCAAATCTCTGCTTTCCCTCACCAGAAACTGTTTACGTGAGGCTCAAATGCAGCATAAATTCATTTAAAAGCTTTTTGCAGAGGTTTAGGATTTTTTTCTGAACCAAACATACAAAATTAGACTTTTGGAGGAGTTTGAGTTTTATCTGTCGTATGGGTGACCCGGAGAGAAAACGAAGAAACTGAAAACACTTCTAAGTTCCAGCAGGCTTAAATAAGGAACTGTGGGTTTGGTTAGAGCTATGTCTGAAGTTGAACTTCATGGTGAACCCATCGGGTGAACCGGTGTTTAAGCTGCAGCGATTTGTGGCTGTAAATGTATAGAGACCTCAAAACCCTCATTAAAGTCCTGCAGTGGGAGGTGTCCTTTAACTCAGAGGTCTCACTGATAAAATTAGACCCACGCTTTGTTAGAACGGCATGCTTTTCCAAACCAACGCTGTCGGCTACCTTGTGACTTTATTTAAATGAACCTCCATCAGCGGTCACCGTTGGTTAATTAGCCTCAGACTGCATGCAGCTCCAAAGCAAGAGGGATGACCTGAATAGTGAAGTCAGGGTTAGTTTGGGTAGAGGACTCATGGTAAAGGAAGAAGCCTAACACCACGTAACAGCATGTTTGTGAGAGCGTAACCCTGGCAACCTCCGAAAAGCACCTCCAACTGAGCTGCTTCGCTGCTGTCCATGCCAATGTCATTGGATTCAGTCACATTGCGAGATGAGCTGCAGATTGAGATCTCATCGCGCATGTGTGTGTGTGTGTGTGTGTGTGTGTGTGTGTGTGTGTGTGTGTGTGTGTGTGTGTGTGTGTGTGAGAGAGATATATTGTGGCAGATCAGACCAGAGTGTGAGGAGTCTGACAGCAGCAGCAGCTCTTTGTGCTGCCGTGTGTGAGGTTAAATGAGAATCTGACTATGTGAAATAAAGCATAAACGTTAAAACCTGCATAGAACCGGGACAGTTTTAAGCTAAACATTTAGCTAACATGGAGGGCAGAGTTAAAGAGATGGTTTTGTTGTGTTGCAGCTTGGATCTTTACCTCGTTGCTCCACTCAGTAAAACAAAGCGTCACATCGACGGTGTCAGAGAGGGGATCTCTTCACCACACGTTTATTCTGATGAGCTCATTCTGTTTGCTAAATAGGTTTAAGAACCATTTATGAAACCTCATATGATGAGATATGATTCCAAATATTTATTTTTATCTTCATCATCTGAAGCTCAGAGGGGCGCCTTACATGTTAAATGCTGCGCTCATTTAGGATCTACTCATGAACATATCTTTTATATTAACAGAACTTCAGTTTGAGACCATCCTCTAGACTGAACGTCCTCTCTGTGTCTGCAGGACGTTATTATGACTGCAGCTCTGTGACTTAAACAGATATGCTGATATTTAAATGCTCGGCGCTTACTAAAGCTTTACTTTTGATTAGA